AGTATGGAAGGATAGATACCTGCGGAGGAACGAAGACCCTTCCAGAAGGGATGCAAAGATAGGGGGCATGAACGCTCCCAAGGAGATAACATTCAAGTATAAAAGAACTCATCCTAAGTGAGCAAATCCCGGATTCCAGATCCTGGATCCCGGATCTTAGAAAACATGATCTCGGCCTAGATGAGTAGGTCCGAGAAAAGAAGAACTCAACCTGAGTGAGTAGATCCAAGATTCTAGCAGACAAGATCTCGGCACTTAAAGTTCGAGAAGAGAAGAGCTCAGTGAGCAGATCTCAGATCCCAGAAGATAAAAAAAGAAAACACACAAGGTTGGACTGTAGTTAGCCAGGTTGAAGACCTTTTATAAGGTTCGCAAAGGAGTATGTGAAAGCCATGCAGGGGGTAGAGAGAAGAAGAATATGTTTACCACTTGTTGAAATTTGCAGCAATTTACAAGTTGATTAAACGGATATGATGTTTACCACTTGTTGAAATTTGTAACAATTTACAAGTTGGTTAAACCGATATGATGCTTGCCACTTGTTGAAATTCAACCGAGGTCATATTTAACACTTGATGAAATTCTGTGTGAATTTACAAGTTGAAGTTAAACCGAGATGATGTTTAACACTTGTTGAAATTCTGTGTAAATTTATAAGTTGAAGTTAAACCGAGGTCATATTTAACACTTGTTGAAATTCTGTGTGAATTTACAAGTTGAAGTTAAACTGATGCGATATTTAACACTTGTTGAAATTCTGTGTGAATTTACAAGTTGAAGTTAAGCCGAGATGATGTTTAACACTTATTGAAATTCTGTGTGAATTTGCAAAGTTGAAGTTAAACCGAGGTCATATTTAACACTTGTTGAAATTCTGTGTGAATTTACAAGTTGAAGTTAAACCGATGTGATATTTAACACTTGTTGAAATTCTGTGTGAATTTACAAGTTGAAGTTAAACCGAGGTCGTATCGGAAGAAAATTGGTTTAAACACTTGTTGAAATTCTGTGTGAATTTACAAGTTATAGTTAAACCGAGGTCGTATCGAAAGGAAGATGGTTTAACACTTGTTGAAATTTTGAGAAAAATTTATAAGCTGAAGTTAAACCGAGGTTATGATAAAGGATGATAGTTAAAACACTTGTTGAAATTTTTGAGAAAAATTTACAAGTTAAAGTCAAGCTCAAGCAATATCTGCGTACTTATCGAGGCTACCAGGTTATCAAAACTTGAAATATGAAAAACTGAAGTCTTGATAGAAGACATTGAGAAAGTGACAAGTCCTAAGCAACACTTGTGAAAATATTTGTTACAATATTTTCAAGTGTTAGGACAAGGCTGAGATGAGCAAGATTAGAAGTTGTGACAGAGGTATTTTACCCGAAGAGATTGTACAGTCAATGTGTACTTTGAAGACATGCAAATTATTCTAAGTGTAGAATCATACAAGAGCAGAAAAAAGAAGACATTCATTGAAAGAAGAAATTATAGAAATGCATTTAAAGAAGAAAGAAGGCACTTCGGCCTGAATATTGAAAAATAAATTATTCAGACTATAGAAATGGCACATCGGCCGGATTAAAAGCATACAAAGAAGGACAAAATACAAGGTACAAGGTACAAGGAGTAAAAGAAGGAAACAAAACTACTCGACATCAATGGCACGATATAGAAGTTAGTTGGGAAGACTTCTCAGCAGCCTTCTCGGCCTCGAGCTCAGTATCGATCTCCTGAAGAGTTTGATCAAAGCTCTTCTCGGCGATTGGCACCTCGGAGTTTGAAGGCAAGGATTGAAAGCAAGAATCGGGAAAAAGACACAGAAAATAGAAACAAGAATGTAATTCATAATCAAGAATGGTGATGAAGCTATCAGGAAATCAAGACAAAAAGATTGCACAGGTGTGTCAAGCCAAAAAACAGTGGCAGAAATCAACAAATGTGTGAACAGTGTGTATTCAAGAAGATGATTTGGAAACAACGGGTAAAACAATAATGGTGATTAACAATGAAGCAGAACTTCTTGGAAAGCAACAAGAAATAAAACCAGGCGGAACAGTGGCTTACCAGAAAGAGGGAAGCTAGAATGAGAATTACCGAAGTCTGATGACGGATGCGAAAATGACAGAATGACGTAAGCTTCACTGGAGGAGAAGAACGAAAATAGTTGTAGAGCTTGAAAGCTTGGAACAATGACGGATTTAAGCAAAAGAGCTAGAAAGAGAAAACGCCAGAGGATTGAATGAAAAAAGAGAAAAATCAGAGTCAAGAAGACGACAAAGTTCAAGAATAAAGCCAAGTGTACAGGCACTAAGTAAGTATGTGAAGAACAAGAAAGTAATGACCCAGACACGATGCTAGCAACAGAAAGCGGATATGGCAAGAACAGTGCCAGGCGTTCAAACAATTTAAAACTTAAAAACAGACGAAAATAAAAGACAACAGAGGGCAAGTAAACGGATTCAGAAGAGTTATGAAAGATTGAGCTTAATAAAAGAGTTTATGAGCCTACCAAGAGAAATGAACGCCGATATGAAGATCGCCGGAGTCAAATAGATGACTGGAAGTCGGGAACCCACCAAAGAATGTGAGTGGAGCATTTGCAAAGCTCATGGAGTTTACGAATTAATGAAACAAGAACCTCGGCTAGAATGTGTGATCTCGAGCAGCTTGGAAAGCATGAAGCTTGATACTTGACAGAAGTGGACAGTAAAGTCCAGGGAACTTTGAGGTCGGCGAGTTTGATCTCGGACAGAGGGGCACAGATGAACGAACAGTGTAGGTAATGCCGAGGTAATAAAACCTAGGGGGCAGTTGTGGGATATATTTTTTGAGTACCAACACGTGGCCAAGGTGACACCGACGTGTCAGCTGAGGTGCCACATGTCCTGGTTGTTATGCCGAGATCATCTCAGATAGGCTGAGGTTGCCTCCGAAGATATCGGAATCCGAGATAAGCAGATGAGGGGCAAGAGTCCTAGAATGAGAGGAGACTTCAGTTTGTATTAAGATAAGACTCTTAGAGAGTTTATCCTAATCTTACTGGGAGTCTAAGATTAGCAGTAATCCCGAGTCCATAGAAGTTAGGCTTCTATTGGGACTAGGTTTATGTTGGCTATAAAAGAGAGGCACTCCCATGGGTCTAAGGTATGCTTTTGATACTCAAGCTTGTGAGTTTAGCACTTGATTTATCTTTGAGAGATATACTGACTTGATCGTCGGAGTGCCCCAGGTGGACGAACCACCGCCAGAATCTTCTTTTTCTGTTGTAGATCAGCCAGGTGCCATCTATTCTGCCGGTGCTCTCCAGCTGGTTACTAAGCGGGCAGTGTGGTCAGAAAATCACCCACACAGTTATCATTGTCTTTGCAATTATATAAAGGCATATTTTAAAAGTAAAAATTGTAACATTTTATATTACCATCACTTTTATATGAAAATGTATAGAATTTGGTTGTTTATTTTTTACTTTTGCACTAAAAAGTTGGTATATGTTGATGGATTGCCGATGTAACTAAACTAAAAACAAAGAGGTACTTTATTAAATTAGAAACAGAGGTACAAAATTAAACATTATCATGCCTGTCCAAAAAAATCCAAGTCAGAGATCCAAGTAATATGAATTGATTCATTGAACCTATAAATCGAATTGCAGGTAATTGAAGAAAATAATGTTGTTGATGAGTTGCCTAATTGTGGTTGGAAGCCGAAATTGGGTATGCCATTTGACTCTGAACAAACTGCATATGATTTTTACAATACCTATGGTGGAAAGGTGGGGTTTAGTATTAGGAAGCTATATGCACACAAGAACAAACATACTAAGGAAATAACTTCACGGACTTTTGTATGTTACAAAGAGGGAACTCGGGGTATTGACAAGCGAGATCCACTAGTAACATTTCCGAGACAAGAGGTGAGGTGTGGTTGTGGTGCTCGATTTAGTATCAAGTTAGATAGAAATTTAGGAAAATATGTTGCCATTGATTTTGTTGAACATCATAATCATGATCTTGTGCCTCAAGAGTGCATTCATATGTTGCCATTCCAAAGAAAAATATCTACCACCCAAGCAATTGAAGTAGAATTGGCTGCAGAATCTGGAATTCCTCTTAGGTCTGCTTATGAGCTATTTGGTAGGGAATCTGGTGGAAGAGCATCACTTGGCTTCACCAAATTGGACCAAAAAAATTACTTGAGATCGAAGAGACAAAAAGATTTGGAATATGGAGAAGCGGGTAGTGTGTTGCAATACTTTCGTAAGAAAAGTTTAGAAAATCCATCCTTTTATTATGCAGTCCAATTAGATTGTGAAGAGCAAATAAGTAACATATTTTGGGCGGATGCACAAATGATAATGGACTATGCTCAATTTGGTGATGTAGTGACCTTTGACACTACTTACAAATTAAATAATGACATACTAAGGAAAGGAAATAATTTCACGGACTTTTGTATGTTACAAAGGGGGAACTCGGGGAATTGACAAGCCAGATCCACAAGTAACATTTCCGAGACAAGAGGTGAGGTGTGGTTGTGGTGCTCGATTTAGTATCAAGTTAGATAGAAATTTAGGAAAATATGTTGCCATTAATTTTGTTGAACAACATAATCATGATCTTGTGCCTCAAGAGTGCATTTATATGTTGCCATTCCAAAGAAAAATATCTACCACCCAAGCAATTGAAGTAGAATTGGCTTCAGAATACAGAATTCCTCTTAGGTCTGTTTATGAGCTATTTGGTAGGAAATCAGGTGGAAGAGCATCACTGGGCTTCACCAAATTGGACCAAAAAAATTACTTGAGATCGAAGAGACAAAAAGATTTGAAATATGGAGAAGCGGGTAGTGTGTTGCAATACTTTCGTAAGAAGACTTTAGAAAATCATTGGTTCTTTTTCTACTTATCAAGGTCAACCTTCTTCCGCCGTGGGTACTCATTTAATACAGGTAATATTTAATTTAGGGTGTTTACCTTTGACATGCATAGACCTTAGGGAAATTGAACCTCATATGGAACCAACATTATTAATTTTTTTTCTTTACATTGTCTTATTCTTTTGTTTATGTTGGTTTACTTTAGGGTGTTTACACTCCACAAGGTCAATCTCGACCTCCTTTTGCCATGGGTCGTAGTAATTATGTTGAGGTAATATTTCATATTGTCTGTTTTTTAAAATGAAAATGCATTACTGCTTTTTTTTCATTTCACTTCTTATTTTCTTTATGTTGGTTTACTTTAGGGTCATGGTCGTGCAATCTATATTTCTCAATCTCAATCCCAATCTTGACCTGAATCCCAATCTCAACCTTCTTTTGCCATGGGTCGTAGTAATTATGTTGAGGTAATTTTTCATATTGTCTGTTTTTAAAAATTAAAATGCATTATTACGCTTTTTTCATTTCACTTCTTTTATTTATGTTGGTTTACTTTAGGGTCATGGTCGTGCAATCTATATTTCTCAATCCTAATCTCGACCTGAATCCCAATCTCAACCTTCATTTGCCATGGGTCGTACAAGTGTTCATCATGTCATGTATCCTACATATGATGTGAGTTTAATTGTTTACATACTTTACATTGAAATTGTAGTATAGATTCTATAAATATTTTAATACATGTATCACTATTGCAGGGAAATAACACGCCTCAGTCAATGCCGCCTGTAAATAAAAACAAACAATTACCCACTCAGACATCATTTCAGGAGTTGCTTCGAGGACTAGTGTTCAACAATTTGCAGTCCTACTATCGGAAGCCTCACATAGTCTTGCTAACAGTCATGTGGATGGACATCCTTGGAAGGCTTGCATCGAACGATCAATGCCTTTAGTGTATCCCACTTCGACATCGTTTCAGGAATTGCTTCGAGGTACTACTGCAGTCCAACTGTCACAAGCCTCACATAGTCTTGCTGACAGTCATGTGGATGGACATCTCTGGAAGGCTTGCTCCGAACGATGATGTTATTATATTTGTGGATTTGGGTGTATTTTTTTTTAATGTTTGGTGGGATTTGGATATTTTTAATGGACATCTTTTTTATGTTTTTTTAATGTTTGGTGGGATTTTGATATTTTTTATGGAACTTTTTTTCATGTGTTTTTAATGTATGGTGGGAATTGGATATTTTTGATGAATCATGGCCTTTGTTATGTATTTTTTATGTGTTTTTATGTATTTTTAATGTTTGGTGGGAATTTGATATTTTTTAAGAAACATATCTTTTTTATGTATTTTTAATGTTTGAGAACAATGTTCTTTTTCATGGAATTGTGTGTATGCATATATAAAGTTCTTATGATTTTCATCTAGAATGTCTTTATTGTGCAGATGACATTTACGTTTGTTTTAGTCAATATTTTGTAGTGGTTGGTGCTTAGGGAAGTTGGACAGGTTAAATTCCTTGAGGCACAGGTTCAATTCAAGTGGCTAGGCATGGTGAGTTCATGCAGGATGTTGATTTTGTTGACTCATGGTAAGGTGATGCAGGATGGTTGGAGTGATCATATTATTTTTAATATTTGGGAAGCTTACTTTGAGATGCCTCTTTGAGGATTACTTTGAGATGCCTCTTTTATGATTTAACATGCTAAAACCCATGGAAAAATTGCAGTACAGTGCCATGTATAAAGGATTGATCATCCATCATGCAACATCATATTCACTTTGTACTTACATAACATCATATTCACTTTCTTTTCATCGCATGAATCTTCATGCATCATATACATAGCACTCAATATCATTAATCAACACAATTGACATAGCATAGTCACTTCATTAATTAAACATTGTTTGGATTTTACATGCACATATAAAAGTTTCAAAACTAAATACAAGTTTTGCAAGTAGTGGTTTACACTAGTAGAAATACAAGTTCATTTCAGCAGCACCATTAGCATGGTAAAACCAACCATCATGATGGTTGTCAACATCATGAATTTGATAGCTTCAAGTCGCTCTCGTTGGTTTGCCTCAAGTCGTTCCAAGATATTCACAACGTCATTGTTTCTCGCAAAATCATAATCATACCCGTTTTTTTGGATATTTGATCCATTCCCAGTAGGAGCCACTCCCCACGCAAAGTAGTCACAAGCCTTATTTGAACACTTGAAATACAACTTCCTTGAATTTTTCTCTGATTTTGATATGTACACTCCTGCTTTTTTCCCACATTTGCATCTTTTATTTTCAAAAAATCCAGCAGCATTGTTTGAACTTGTTGACATGTCAATCCTGATTACAAGTAAACACAAAAGTCAATTTCAAATGCAAAGTTCACTACCCATCAGTTTTCATCAGTTTTCAAATCCAGCACACTTGAAGTTACTACCCATCAGTTTTCATCAACATCAGACAAGCATACTCAAATTCTATTTTCATAAATCAGACAAGCATACAAGTTCACTTCACCTGTTTAATGATTTTTCAATATGTGCTTTATTATTATTTCAGGGGAGGGAAAAAATAATTTTAAGCAGTTATTCCTTGCAAGAAACATAAAATGGAATTGTTACATTTTGTTTGCACAGCCCTCATATCAAAATTTTCACATTTTCATGTGATTTTTGTCTCATGTGATATGGTTTTTTTTTTCTCTAAATATAATGGCTGTTATATATATATATGATATTTACAAAGTTGTTATATATTACTAAAATAATTCACCTTAACATTTCACCTCCTACGCGACTCCCATGTTATTGCTCTGCACTTGTGTTATGTTATGCCTATAATAACCAATGCCTTTTGTTCAATTGCTTATGTTCTTTCCATCATCTTTGCCCCCATATAAACCAATGATACAACCATTTTAGCATGGAATTTACTTCCATTATAAACTGGGATCAAACATATCATTGATGTTAAAAGGCATTAATTGAATGGGAATACCATATCATTGATATCCAACATTATTGAAACTAGAAATACAGCCTCAACAAAACCAAAAAGCTTATACAAAGCCATCTAGGATAGAGGATAAATGAAAGCTCAATTTTGGAAGAAATGGAGCAAACTTTTCAGAATTTTTCAAAAATTTTAAAATCTCATACTCGACCATTATGCAATATGTGAAGCCAAATTCAATGGTTGGGATTGGGATCCTAATGCTTAAACTAAATGGATGAAGAATTGAAAATTAATACAATTCTATGAAGTGAATAAGTTGAGGAATAGGTCTCATTTCTCGGAGTGATTTGAAAAATAGGACCATGAACTACCTTCTTTCTTTTTGCAATTAAAATTAAAATTCAAATTCAAGATCATTCTCAAATTCAAATTCAAGATCATTGTCAGAATCAAATATGTTCTACAAATCATTCTCAAATTCAAGATTCAATGACAATGTTAAAGATTCTGAACATATTTAAGAATGGAAAAAATGTAAAAAATAATAATAATACTTTTTTATGTTCATCAACAATGTTAAAGATTTTGAACATATGTTCATCAACCATTGTCAGAATCTATGTTCATCAACCAAAAAGAGTATGGGCAAAAAAAAGAATGGAAAATCTATTGCAAAGAGTATCAGACAAAAAAAATAATGGAAAAATCGAAAGGGAGAGAAATGAACCTTGTGAGTTCACTTTTCGTCTCTCGCCGCTCCGGTCGGCTCACCGTCGCCTCGCCTTCGTCGCCTTTCCATTCGTCGGCTCAAACTCTCGTCCAGATCGTCGCTTTTTTTCCTCATTCGTCCTGTATCGTCACCTCTGTGTCTAGGGTTCAAAAAAAGAAAGGGGAAAGCTGAATAAGAAACAAAGGAAGAAAAAAAAAATAAAAAAAATAATATACAAAACGACATCGTTTTGTATATTATAAATCCCTCTATCTCTACTTATATTTTACTTAAAACAAATTATTTTTTTATATTTGAATAAGTTTTATTGATGATATAGTTATCAAAATACCTATAATAATATTTGCATTGACAGTGAATGTTGTGATGTGAATATTCACATCATAAAATACGAGCATTCACACGTCAATGTGAATATTCACATCGTAAAATATGAACGTTCACATCACCAAGTTGCTAACCGTTCAAAAAATATTTGTAAAGATAAAATTATCTATAAAATATCTTAAATATGAAAATTAGGATTTGGTGGATTAAATCCAAATAATAGGACTTATTGAAATAGAAGGATATATTATGGACTAATTAGAATACAAGTACTTAGACAGGGAGTTCTTAATAAATCTCTCAAAATTAATAAACTATATAAGCTTTAACTATATTATTAAAAACAGAAAATGATTGGAAAACATAATTTTTATAAATAAAACTAATAAATAATATAACATGATATTTTTGCAGTTAAAAACTGCTACCAGGTGTTTTTTGCTTGAAACAAAGGGCTAAAAAATGACATATCATTTTGTATGAATTTTTTCAATTAAAATTATATATATATAACATTATTCTTTGTGAAAACCTTTCGAAATGTAGTACGTCATTACTGAAGAAAGGGATGGATAGATGTGTACTGGGAGAATTGAATAAGGAAGTTTCTTACAAGATGTTCATTGGTGAAACCCTCTCCTCTCAATTAATATAATAAATAATTTAATAGGGTTGGATTCTCTCAAGTTGACCATTCAACTTGAGAGAGTAGTTGGGCTTAATGAGCTTGTTTTGGGGTCAATATCAGTAATTTAAACTGTTCACTTTTTAAAACTTGTTGAGTATAATATTTATGTAAAAAATCAAAATTATTGGACATCGGTACCTATATATTTGAATCACATTTGTTTTAAAAAAATGAATGACAAATATAACTTTAAGAATAACCATCTACCTTTTTGTTATATAAATGTTATTCAAACAAATAACTTTTGATGTGCATCACCGTAACGAATTTTATATTCAACAAATTTTAACAAGAGATTGGTTTAAATATATTATCAAGATCAATCCCAAAAAGGATGCACAAAACCCAAATTATTCTATTAAGTTAGATGACTAACTGGGAAAATTCAAATTGTAAATTAATACTTGAAAAGCAACTGAAAGAGAAATTGAAAGCTCTTGTCACTACATTAATCTTATAATTTTCAACTAACACTCGATTCCTTGAAATTTCATCTCATATTTAGTGGTTGATTTGGTCCTCAAATATTGTTTGTATTGATATAGCTTTCTTTTCACAAATTAGTGGAAATATATTGGAATTTAATTGGAAGCTTAGAAATTTTTTTCCATAAATCTTTAAGTAACAGAAAACATAGAGGTCTTTCTTGAATGTTACTAGCTTGATTTTATTAAAAAGACTTAGGAGTCTTCCATGATATTATCTATAAGTTTTAAGTTAATCTTTAATAATCTTGATTGGATGACCATAAAATTATGTTTTCTAGAAGTTTGATTTTCTAGTAAAATTAAAGGCAACAATCTGGTAGAACATGAAAGTTACTGAGAGAAATAGAAAGCTATCCCATCCACAAAGGAACAAAGTGAAAGGTGTGTCTTTTGATGTTTTACTGTGCAACACATTGGATTTGAAATTAATAATAAAAGAATTTAAAAAATGTAAGACTTTGTAGAAAGTCTTTTCATAAATTTGCAATATGGAGGTAGGAATGGGTCTCTCGACCCGACGTGTGGGTTGGTTGATGGAAACTGTCTGTCTC